TGGAACCTACCGAATTGGCGTAGAATCTGGTTCAGCGATGAATCACGATTTCTATTGGAACGACGAGATGGAAGAATGCGGGTGTACAGACGTCGACGTGAACGTTTCGCCGACGCTTGCGTTCCCCAGGTGGACAGATTCGGCCGGGGCAGTGTTATGATGTGGGGAACGATCACCTGCCGTAGGAGAAGTGATTTGGTGATGATCCAGGGCAACCTGACAGCTCAACGGTACTGTGACGAAATCCTACGCCCACACCTCCTTCCAATCATTGATCGCCAGAGGGAGTTGTTTCAACAGGACAATGCAAGGCCCCACACAGCACGTCACACTAGAGACTTCCTCCAGAACCACAACATCAATGTGCTCCCCTGGCCCTCAAGATCACCGGACTTAAACCCGATCGAACATCTGTGGGATGCCCTGGACAGACGGGAGCGACGCCGTAACCCTAAGCCCCAGACACTTCAGCAACTCGCACAGGCACTACAGGCAGAGTGGGGTGCGATTGGGCAATACGAGATTCTGAGACTTATTCGTTCGATGCCGAGGCGATGCCGTGCAGTTCTGGATGCCCACGGTGGTCACACGAGGTATTGACTTCAGCGCCACCACACGTCTCCTTGTGACACTCAAACTGTCTTTCCTCGAGTTGGTGCCAAAGACGGATAAGTCTGCATTCCCAGTGTTCAATTTCGCTATATTTCATTGACTCATAAAGCCTACAAGATGTTTCAAAATAAACATAAAAATACAGTTGAAATCCCTATATGCGTTTCTTTTTTGGGAGAGTATATATCTGTAAGCTCTATTGCAATGCATAGCAATAATGGTATTAACAACAAGTTAATGCGATACCTACTGCACTGCGTAGAGTGCACATAAACTGACTTCACAACTGCATTTTCTGCATCTATAAGTCTGTCAGTATGTGTGATTAAATAACAGAATGCTGATTAACGAGCGGGATAATATTTCTCAAAGCAGTTTCAGTGGTATCATTCGTTTACAAAGCTTACAGCTTAAATAATCTTTAAGCCGTAAGGGCCTGATGAAATTTAAAAACTGAGAATAAATCAGCCCGAGAACAAATCTAACGGCCTCGGGCCTTCGGGCCGATGTTTTTTGCAAACACTGGTCTGGAGAATGCTAACTGTAGGCAAAGCATATTCCCTCGTCAATGCTTCACAGGTTCGTTTACCACTATGTTCTTTGCCGTGTCACGATATGAAACCACCAAATCGTCTCTTCGAATTCCTTCTTTAGAGTTATGTCCCTTACGAGTGACAGAATCCTACCATAATGAATCTAATCCCGGTTCGCCCAATTGTGTTTCTAGTTTTATCAACATAGTAACCTTTAACATCGTTTTTATCAAAATAGTAAATGTCCAAGACAGACATCACTTCGAGTCTCACTCGAACGCATTAACACGTGACGCTACAGAAATATTGCTAAAAACGACAACAAACCAAATTTACTCACGACCTTTAAAATAACAGTAGAGTGAGTGAGTTTTAGCAATATTCCGGCAATATCACGGCGGGGACACCAGAAATGGGCTCCACACATTGTACCCGGGTCTTCAGCGTGACGAGCGAACGCTTTAACCACAAGGCTACCCCACCACCCCCACTCTGACTAGGCTGTCGATATACGTAATAGTTCTCCCATATGTTAGAACAGAAAAGTAAAGTTCTAATCATTAACCACTAGGCTAACCCTCAGGCCCAAAATAATAGTAGAAAGGAGCCGATTGTTACAACATATATGTAGTGAGGCCATATGCCAACCAATTAGCATTGGATAAGCATCAATCAGTTGCTTCATAAATAGCCGACAAACATCCTAATCATGTATAGATTCTTTCACACTGTACCTATTCATAAACAACATCTGACAGGCTTTTCTGTCCCAGTCATAACCTCTTCTGACTGACTGTAAACCTGCGCCAGGAGCGGTCATTATTTTATGATATATAACGAGAGGCTGCCGCACAGGTTGACCATACGGACGCCAAAGCCAGACTGATGGAATGGATACCTCTGTGCAGACCAACTGGTCAGATCAAATGTGGTCATATATGTTCGCGTATAACCACATGGGACTTAGTCGAGATCGCTGATCTTTGGGGTCGAAGTTAGACTTGCATCTAGTCTCCGAAATGAACATTTTTTACAGAAAAAGGTTCTTAAATAATATGTATGAAATATATTAAACGAGAGCCCAATGACGTTCTTCATTTTTCTTGAAACTGCAGTAATCAAGACTGAATACGTTCTAAACTTGTGCTGCATTGGGTGTAAGGGCTTCAAACACAGAATAATCTGTATATGTTTTGTTAATAAACCGCTACGTTTTACGTATCCCGGATGGGTCTCAACCCAACAAAACTACTAGAATCTGTACTTAATCCCAAATAGAACATGTGTTACAGTTGACCACTTTCTAAATGGGATTGTGCATTCATACAGTTTACTTAACGAGTGTGAATTATTCTTTCATGGTCCGAATAGAAACAGGCCATCAGTTGTCTCCCTAGAATGGTGAGTTTTGGACATTAAGTTTGGATAAACGTTAAGTGGGTATATACGGGTGGTATGATGAGTTATTTTCAAACAGTATAAACATACAAGACAGGGAAGGAGAGAGACATTTTGAGATGCAATTCGCTACCCTGTTGTTTGTTTAAAATAATATTTAAAAAATAAAAGTTGCTCTCAACAATGACGAATTGAAAAGGGAATTAATACATAAATACCTAAACATCAATTCGTTGTTGATAATAAAACTGATGTTTGGTGTTTTGAAGGTTGGGATGTGTGTTTTAAACATATTGCTCAGGAATATGACCAAGAACAGTTTCCTGTTTTGTTGAAAAAATACGAATACGTGTAGTGTTTCGTGAAAATATTTTTGTTGATTGTGAAAATAAATAAATTCTTTGATTGTGCTCCATATATAAATAGTTTGCTGGATACAGCTGGAACAATATAGATCGTTCTGAAAAACATCCTTCAACATCCCACAATACAAACTAAACGGATGCTCCCTAATCATTTTCTATATTCTTCAAACGTCGCACACGTTGACATACAGAACTTTACCTATTGAATTTCAATTGAATTCCAACCCCACAAACACACAACCAGTGACAGTTGAATTACTCAAACCAAGAGTCTTATGATCGCTTATCCTCTTGATTTTTCGTCCTAAAGTGCGTTGATACATCTACGATCGAAGGTTCAAGCCGACATATGATCTTTGTTCAACACAATCCCTCTATGTTCACGCCCTCGTGTTGCCAACGTGTGGCGCACCGTCATGCACGGCACTCGCGCCGTGATATAAAAGACGGCATGGATATAAGTGGACGTCATCAATATCGATTACAGAGTAGAAGTAAATATTGTTGGGGCGATTTATTTATGACTTTTAAGTAAAACGGCTGGTCTGTTGTGGGAAATTGCCTTCCTATAGTAAACACTTGTCGAGACACGAGAGTATTTGATCTCTGATAATGGCCTTTGCGTACACTGTGCTCGGGGCTTGGCCCAAGGGTTACGTTCGTTCATACCTGCTGAATCTGCCGTGGTATCGTACGTAGGCCGTCCGTTTGTATTTATTGTTGATAATTGTTCAATGCTAATGGATTTTTTTCATAAACGATACTTAACTCGACGAAATGCTGCACCATCTGATAAAGTGACAGATCAATAATCTTTTCAGACATTTTCTGTGATGTTTTTTTCATGTGAAAATTGAAAGAATTGTTTATGTATGTTTTAAACCCTTTTCAGTCGAAATGTATCCCTTAATAAATGCATCAGGAAATCAACCAATAGGGAGAGTGTGATAACACGCTGTTACTGGTTAATCAGACTGGATGTAATATGGAGTTTGTATTTATAATATAGTGAGTTGGTGAGTTTAATTTTACGCCGCTTTTAGCAATATTATAAAAAAAACACCAGAACACATTGTATCCATACAGTGTTTGCCCTTAACCCTGAAAAGCTGCAGACCCTACGGACCCAGAGCCATAAAAAGTTGTGGGTCCTGATCAGAATGTGTAGGCTCTATATTTTAATATGGAAATAATACTCTTAGTTATTGGTGATGAAAAAGATGTCGGCCATCAGGACCTGCAGAAAACAAAAGCTGTGGGTCCGAGTGGTTTTCAGTCGGCTTCGGGCCAAAGGACCGAGGTTAATTTCGAACGCTGTATCCATACGAGATTCGAACCCGTGTGTTTTACTGGAAGCTTCCGCCCCGAAGCTGTCCCATCACACTGCAATCATGGATACAACATGGTTGACCTAACGTTGACTTTGAACTATCAGTAACTGATAATGTGGGCGTTAACTGCCTTAACTGTTTGTGTAGCTGAAAACGGTTTATCCGAACTGACGATAGTCTTTAACATTTGTGTGAGGTGCGGTTGCCTAGTCATTGGCGGATTCAGATGGCGGATTTAGAGGGGGGTTCAGGGGATCGAAACACACACACACACACACACACACACACATTCCCTTTTGAAAATGACTTAAGTCCACATTGACCCGTTTGAAAATTCCTGGATCCGCCTTTCTAGTGTTTGAAGTGTTAGCTCGTCATGGTGAAGGCCGAGTTGTGAAGTGAAGCACGCTGATTCCCCACATGGGTACAATGTGTGACGCCCATTTCTGGCGTCCCCCGCCCTGGTTTTGCTGGATTATTGCTAAAAGCTTAAAACTTACTCACTCACTCCTTCGTTTAGACTGTTGCAGCAGCTGCTGACGGTCACTTGGCGTTTGTTTTCAAGCTACTGCTATGTTTGATAGCCGTGGCGACGAGTCGATGTTGACGTTAAACTAGTGCCGTAGCTGATAACGGTGGCGTTGATTATTTCCGAAGATAGCATTGATATTGAAAAGTGATTTTCATTACACAATATCTGATAAAACATGGTAGTGGCTTCTAAAAAAAGAGTTCGTATAGTATCTTTCCACGGTACTTACCTCCCCTTGTGTGTGGTAATTTGCAACCAACAAGTATGGCATTGTGAACAGCGTGGCGTACATTATTCCGGCCGTCGGGGACAAGACAATTACCGCCACTTTGTGCCTCACTAGTGCCAGTATCACCATTCCCACAGTATAGGTCAACTGGCCGCATACGTACACTCTTTTGGCTTCTGAAATGGAAATACAATTCTGATATGTAATGGTCCAGTGTACGATTTATAAGAATTTTAAGCAGTAAATCCATTTCCAAAATCACAGGAAATCTATGTTAAAAGTCCATTGTGCGATTTTGCCTTTATCATAAATCATTATCAAATGATGATATCCAACGTTGACGTCAGCGCCTGTCCCAAACACATGCAAAGGAAAAGTAAGTAACCTACACACCCAAAACGACACGGTTCATTGGTTTGTCCTTTAACGCCGCACTCAGCAATATCCCAGCTATATGGCTGTCTGTATATACTCGAGTCTGGAGCAGACAATCCAATGATCAACAGCACAAGCATCGATCTACGCAATTGGGACACGATGACATGTGTCAACAAAGTGAGCGATCCTGACCACCCGATCCCGTCTTACGACAAGCATAGTGTACTGAAGACCAATTCTTATCCGGATCGTCACGGGTCCAAAACGCACGGGGACATGTGGTAAAAGACAAAATAGGGAACTGAATCGGATTTTCGTTTTGGAATTTGGAAACGTATTCCACAAGTCAACCATATAACTTTTGAACTTGGCTTACAAAGTTTTGATTGATGTAACCTTATGAGGCAACATTTAGCAAGAGTCCCATGACGCTCTTTGAAACACTGGCTGGAAGAGTATGTTCGACTGCACCACAGAAGTAGTGAAACGTAGACCCCGAGGGAGCTACGGTAGCACGTCATAAGGAGAAAACTTACTCTTGAAATGTTGATCCTTCGTGTAACCGTATTTGTCTTGCGTGGGAGTAAGAATATCTATGAATACATTTGCAGTCAGAATATATAATAACGAACTAAGGCACCTTCCAAGTTTGTGCTTCATATGAGAAAGTTGATGTTAACTGTAATAACAGTGTGATGACTTAGCCCAGTGGTTAAATATTGGCCCGAGGATTCGGATTCGATTCCCCACAGTGTGTGAAGCTCATGGTGTCTTTGATTTTGTTAAAAACTACGTAAACTCACTCACTCACTCACAGACCCACCCACCCACCCACCAACCCACTCACTCACTCACTCACTCACTAACTCAATGTGCATGCTTTGGATTCGCCATACACACATAAATGTATGTTTTAATCATTTCATGCATAACGTCGCCACAAATTGTCGGCCGTTTCTGTCAATCAATTGTCAATCAATGAGTGTGGATATAGTTTGTTAAGATTAGTGAATAAATTTGGTTTAACGCTTTCTAACTGTTCTGAATGTACTTAATCAAAAATGGCACCTCGGCACCATGTCAGCAGTACCTTCGCTATATGGGTGTTGGTTGGGTAACTTGAGGTTGAGCTGATGTTAATATGATACGTTTGTCTGGAATAGCCCCCAAAAGCGAAACTCTAGGGTTTTGTCATGAATTGCCATTTCAGTTACGATGTACTGCCGTTAAATATTGCATCCTTAACTCTCCATTCGGTTTTAATATAAGGACTTACGTCAGTGTTACAAGTATCCATACAAAGACTGCAGTGATAGAAAAACGATGCGTTCATACCTAACAGTGATTAAATATAAACATTAATTGTCTTCACGCAGCGTCCCGAAATACAGAACTATCCCCATTTATTTATACAACGCTCAGGATTAAGCCGATATACTAGCTTTTGTAGCATAGCCAGAACCAGATACATTCCCCATTCAATCACAGTGACAGAGAAGTGGCTTAACTCCCGAGTCGAGCTCACTGCTCAAAACATGACATTAGCTAAAGAGGATTGCTCGATGGATCGCCTATATGCGTCCGGCAGGATTTATTGCTTGTTTCTACGTCAACTGTAACGCTGTTGCTCATCCAGCTGAGAGAAGTCTTTGAATTGCGAAATGGGACTTGATACTCGATGTGATACAATTGCAGTGACAAGATTCAGTTCTAGTCGACAGATTTGACCGAATTCTGTTCAGTTACGCTCTCCCTTTGATCCTGCGGGGCTCATCTTGTCGCAGACTAAAGGGAGCCTTATTGGCAGCGAGGAACCATTGCCGCGTGTACTCTATGGGTTACTGGTTAATCAGACCGGATATAACATATAACAAGTATTTACAATATAGTGAGTGAGTTTAGTTTTACGCCACATTTAGCAATATTCCAGCAGTATGACGGCTGGCGACACCAGGAATCGGCTTCACACATTGTACCCATGCGGAGAATCGAACCCGGGTCTTCGGCCCGACGAACGAACGCTTTAACCTCAAGGCTACCCAACCGCTCCTATTTACAATATAGACTGGATTGAGACATGTAGGTGATATAATGTGGACATATATTCATATTCAAGGGCAGGTGTGGAATGTTAAAGTGAGTGAGTTTTTACGCCGCTTTAAGCTATTATTTCTTTTACTAATACTATTATTATCAATAACAGCGGACACTTAAATAAGCTTCGCACAATGCTTTAACCACTGGGCTACCCTATTGCGTTCATTTTAAGTGCAGGGCAAGACGGTATGTATGTGTAACGGACGCTATTATTATATAAATAGAGAAACATACAGCTGTAACGGGACACACTAAATACATTTGATTTTGAGAATTGCGTTTTAAAATATCGCAATTCTCGATTCTTGATTTGCCATCACCATTGGAATCAGGGATTCGAAAGGCCAAAACATCGTGACAGGATTTGTCTGCTCAACGAATCGATGGAATAATTCTTACACCTACTGGAAGGGGAGTTAATTAATTAATGTTGGCGCATGTGGAATATGTTAGGCATCAATGGGACTTTCAAGGATAATCAATACATCTGTGCATATCAGTGCAAATAGTGTCAGTACGAAGTGACTAGGGATTAAATATATTACTCACTAAATGTGCGAACGAGTTTTTCGATACAGAGTGAGTAGACAGCACAGGAAAAGGAGTACAGGGACATCCCAAAGGACCCGAGTCTTACTCCATCATCGTATCGGTTGTGAGCGTCGCTACCAGTCGGGGCCTGAGGATCGCCATTGTACACAACCTGCCCTACAAAATCTGTGAAATATAGTGAGTAACAGACGAGAGACGACCAACAGAAGAGATTCGTTAAACACAATATGAATAGCGACCTTGGCATTTTCACAATGGAACGTAAATATGTCCGCAGCGTAACGTCGGTGGATATCTCAATCGGGTGGTCTTTGTCGGCGGTGTTTGATGACGTGACGTTGCTTTCCGTCAGGGTGTGTCTGTCTGCTTCTGTGTGTTGTTCCATGTTGTTCCTTGACGTCAGGTCATCCTCTGAGTCTGCCGTGTAACCTTTGTGAAGGTCATGGTCAGATGGTAGCTTCTCTAACTTTGGTTTGCCCAGGGCGCCATAACTCTGGTCGTTTGAGAAACCAATTTCTTCTTCCTCATCATCGTCTTCCTCGTTTGTGAATTTACGATATTTCGATTTCCCGACTTTCTTCTTCTTCTTTTGGATTTTTTCTTTAGAAATGCCGAGATCTTTTAGTTGTGTTTCCTTGAAGCTGGTGATGGTTGATATGACGCAAATGATGAACACTATGAGGACTAGAAAAAACACAACACGTATATGGCCCCCAAAAGCTGTACCAAACTCTGTTGCGTTCCAGTCCACACCTCCCATAATGTAGCCGATGCTTCCACCAATCCCAGCCATGACTGTAAACATAGTCAACCCCGAAGAATGTTCCTCGGGTGACGTAACGTCCAGAAGGTAAGCTCTGCTCGGTGACTGACAAGCGTCACAGTTGAAGTCAAGCATTGCGACCCCAACTATAGTCAATATTATTCCTCGAAAATGGTCTTTAGATATAGCATAACTTTCAGGTTCAGTGGCACCGGTTACCATGTCTGTCCCTTCCGATATAGGTATTGGTGTTACGTCGGGTAATGAAACATTGTCCAAAATACTTCTCTTCGATGTCTCCTGAAAGGACTGATTATAAACATACTTGTATCTGTTATGTAAGGTCTCATTTCCTTTATCCCCCAATAAAATCCCTATGCTCTCACCGTTAGGGACCAGTAGAAGCCCCAGCACTATACCTGCTGATAATATAAGTATAAACGGGCGCCTTCGCCCCATCTTCATTGGACATCTGTCACTGAGGGAACCCAATACGGGGACAAGGAAAAAACCCAGCACTGGGCTAAGACACCAAACAAGAGTCATAAGGGCTACAGGGACCCCTAATTTCAATAAAATAGGGCTCACAAACGCTGTCTCTGCCGCATAGCACAGTTCGATGCCACATACGGCTGTGGATAGCCGAATGAGTTGCAACTTGGACTTCCGGCTGACTGTGTGGTCGCCATCTTGGTTTTCGATGTTCACCAGTCCTGCTAAACCAAGTCCTACATACTGAACGTATGGATGATCCTTGAAGGTTTTCAATGCGCGAATGATACCCACAGACATCGTAGACGAATTTCGATTATTGTCTGTGTATCTGAAATGAAAACAAAATTTTACTGTACATTATACTGTATAAAACCATCTTCGGTTGTACAAAGAGCATTGAAAGTGTTTGACTGACTATGTTATTTGAAAGTATAAAATGTCTGTTTGTTGTTTAACGCCGCACTCAGCTATATGCCAGCTGTATGGCGGCGTTCTGTAAATAATCGAGACAGAATCAGACAATACAGTGATCAACATAATTAACATCGATCTACGCAATTGGGGCCCGGTGGCATGTGCCAACCAAGTCAGTGAGCCTGACCACCCGATCCCGTTAGTCGCCTCTTACGACAAGCATGGGTTACTGAAGACCAATTTTAACCCGGATCTTCACGGGTCGATGAAGAGAGAGAGGATAACCATTTTCGTTTGTTCGATGTGAAACTTTTTGAAAAATGGACATGTAATGTTTATTCTGATCGCCGAAAAAAGCGTACTTTTCAGACTGTGTTTGTGTTTAATTAAAACGCTTTATTAGAAACGTGTTTATATATATTATATATATTGATAGATAGAGAGTTGGACAGATACATACACATATATATGCAGTAAGCTACGGTTCTATCGAACTGAAAAGGGCCTCTAATTTTATTTCGTTATATGGATTTCGACTACAATATACAGCACGTGGAATGGACCAGAACGACAGTTCGCTATATCGGCCAGTTGATTATAAGCATGTTCGTTATAAGTGAGTGAGTGAGTTAATATTTAACGTCACATCGGCAATATCTCAGCCATATCGTGACGAAAACAATTTAAACAATAAAAAGTGAAAACATTTGGAAGATTAAAACCTGTCGACAATGGACAGTAAAAATACTAGAGAATCACAGATATGAATATAAAACTAGCGAGCAAAGCTAAAACATTCCAATTAAAGAAGACAATACAGTATAAAACACGGGCTATATATCGCCAACAACTGATGGTAGATCACCATAGTAGGAACCATGGGGACTTCCATTACGTTTGCTACCTGCATGGACATGATCCCTTCAGTCGCTGGCGATTGTAGGAATATTTAGCCAACAGTTAAAATAACAAAAATACTACGCTTAAAATGTAAATCTATATTTTACTTTGAAAGTTTTGGGACTTACGTATCCTCTCAGGAGGACTGTTCGCTATAAACGTAGCTTAATGAATAAAGGCACTTTCAGACTTTCCAATTTAAATTTAAACGTTTTAAACAATTCATTAGAAATGTGCTTATGTTTAGTTATACACCAAGACAAAGGATGAATTCACCATGGCAATAATCGTCATGTTTACAGTGCTCTCTCTCATTATTTCCTTATCATCTACCGGCGACAGTAATGAATCATTATTCGATATCGAGCCACCATGATGAAACAATGGCGTCAACGACAACTCCGCCCACGATAAGATAACGGTTCAATGCATTAACATTTCGCTGATTAAGCAATAATAGTAGTACAACGTTCCGCTTCTGATACCTTTAAGCTGCAGCGTTAACCAAACCCTTTTTACGTCGTTAACGCGAATAGCTGCTGATAAAGCGGTCATCAAACGCGGTCTGTGTTTCTGTTTCATTTGACAGATGACTCCACGTCCTACAGAAACAACAATCTATCCTAATCTTGTTCCTGATGCCAGTCTACTGTTGATATGTCAACAACAGACTGGTGAATCAAATTTAGGAACATTAAAACAACTTGCGTTTCTAATGGAGGGTCGCGTTCTGCCAGATCCAGTTTACCAGAGTGACATCAACCCCATCTTGGTTTTTATTTGGCTGGTTAACACAAAATAATGTACGTATTTGTATATATATTTTTATCGTATTATCTATAGGAAATACGATCCTCGTAACGCTAAAAGATAGCTTTTAAAATCGTGTAGTGTGTGTTCCTGTGCATGGAGCCCAGGTCACCAATTAGCTGAAAACGCGCAACATTGGTCGCGGAGACACCTTGGATGTGTGACGTGTTTGGCAGCTTGACTCCTGAGAGTTTCTACTAATTCAGTCCTGCTCTACAACGAAGCAATGCTGACATATGTGGTTTCACAATAGGCAAGTGAGTTTGTTCAAACATTGCCTCCGTTAACCCAGCAGCAAATGGGTACCCGGAGGGATAAGTTTGTTCATGGTTGTTGACCTTCTGGCGCCTCACAGGCAGCTTAATTATAACCGGGATAATAACGTGTTAGCGCCTTGAGCATTCGCAAGCGCTTTATAAATATCAATTGTTAAAAATAAAATGGTTATTTTAGCAATACAAGTGTAACAGTAACTCTTTGTTGAGATGTATGACCAACTGTACTTTCTAATATCTTATTGGTTAATGTAACGGGAAATATCTCAAGACAATAACCTTAATCAGGAAGATGCCATTAAAGACTAAATGTGACATCAGCTTTCACACTAAAAATGTATCAGGACATGAGAATCATATTAGTGACAGCTTCAAGAATATGGTCTTAACGATTCACTCTAAGTTCCTTAACCGCCTTTCTCTATGTCTCGATACGAGTATCAAACCGGTACGTCATGTTTCGACACATGCATACATGAATATGGATGTCATTTAAATGCTGTTAACATCAAATGTTCTCCGCTTGTGCATGCAAGAGATATCATGGTTACTTGCCGTGGTCACATTTGTTTGTATGTGTTTGTGACTACTGCCACCTGTGGAACAAGATTTCACCATTTCGTGAACACCTTTTATCATCATTACTTATGGCAGAGACGGAATCGTATGACTGGCTCTGTTTTCAACAGAGATATCTTTGGATTAGGGAAACCTTTTGCTTCTTCTATATCGGATCAACTGTTTCTAATATACTAAAGGGGTGTCAGTTGTGCCGCATTCCGTGTCCTTTTCCGATGGAAATGCACCCTCACCATCCTTGAGTGTCGAGTTCGAGTATTGTATCTCGAGATCACTATCGGTATAATTGCGTCGCCCCACTTGAGACTGTTACAGCCCACCCTATTCCACATCTTCTCTCTTAAAGGAGCAGGATCACCGTGTTGGGGAACCCACAGCAAATGCTGTTTAAGAAATACAGATAATCATTATGTATTCTCTAATCAACCTAAGGCAAAATATTTTGGGGTATTTCTTAGAATATATTACTTTTTCAAAGAAACTGGCAGGTCTCTTTGATGTAAAAAGGTTCATTCCTGTCAGTGATTCTTGGGGATGGGTTTCAATGATAATATCACTTCCATCTTGTTTGGACATTTTGGCTTAAGTTAAATCTAACAATACTAACGCCAACCAAAGTGTTTCTGTCTGGACTGTCAAAGACGTCATCGATCACGATAGAGCACCTAATGCACTAGAAGACTCTGTAACTATCCAGAGGGCGCTTCAACGAGTCTGATACTCAACGCCCTTGTCCTCAAAGCATGCATATATCTCCTTCTTTCCACAGTTTTAATCACGCTTCCCGAACTCCACTTTATGGGAACATGCTTACACTCTCTTAACAGATTCGTGGCCGTCAGATAAACGGGATCTGAAGGTTTCAGTGAAACCAAGTACATATACTTGCGTTGATGCGTGTGAGATCCTCTAAGTAAGCGCTATCTATTCTCGTCACATTATTGTACGCCCATCCTTTGTTACATAATGACAAACTCAATAACGGCAGCATGTTTGTAATTGGCTTCAAGTCTTCCGTGCCGTGTAACTCTTATTGGAACGGGACAGTAATTGTAGAGCTGCCTCCTCTACAGTTGCTGCAGAAGGACCAAACACTTCAATTATCGACATTTCGAATCAATCAGTGGATTCCTTTTTCCCTGTGACATGGCAGTGCTGGCGTCATGGCGGAGAAAGGAGGAAATAAATATTAAAGGCTTACTTTGTACGACTTAATTAGAACACACTAGCTCTGATGTAAAGCAGTTATTCACAGGTTTATTTATTGCCGTCATCTGGAAATGAGGATCTTGAAGAGGTGTTATATTCGGGACATACTACCTTGGATTAAAAGATGGACACATTTTCATTGGAGATAATTAATATATTGCAAGAGAGTTACAGAGGGCATGGCAGCATGATTAATGAAAACGTGTTGAGATTGAAATGAAAGTGTGTTACAATTATCATACTTGCCTCATACGAAATATTTTACATTGGAATGGCTATAGTCAGTGTACCCATGGATGAGGCGAATCGAAAAGGTTCTTCCAGGTCATGAGCGAACGTTCAATCACTAAGTTATCCAACCGCCAAATCACCTCAGGTGCTTTTACGTGTACAAAGATACAAAGTTAATTCAAAACGCATTAGTGAAAATGATTTAAGCACTATTCCAAGCACCAGAAATGTGCTTAAAAGTTTACCCACACAAGGAATTCAACGCATGTCATCATCAGTACCAGTCACACTCGACGAGTATTATCTCACTGGTCAAACTCTCCTCCACGAATGAAGACGTTCGTGAGCAATATTCACGTAGCTTCGATGAACGGTCCACATCATTACTTTGTAAATTACGAATAGTAATTACCCTCCCTTTGACATCTGTGTGTTGGAGGATTCTGTGCGAAGTTAGAACAAGGACCAGTTTATTCATTCATTGCGCAGTCGTCCAAATGTCCAATATTACCGCATACACACTGGACAAAAACGTGGGTTTATGTTCCTGTAGGGGGATATTACTTGAACAGCGGCTTCCCCGAGCTGTAAACTTTCAATTTCTCTCGATTCCGTTTGATCCCTATGTTGGCCCTTCCTTGACAATGAGTACACTAGGGTCACTTTGCTAAAGGAAGACCGTATGACGGACGTCGCAATCAACATCTACGGAATCAAGAATAATCAATATCTTTAATGTCGTTACCTCCAGGCCACGCTTACCAATGAATGTAAATAAGTTCATCAAAGCGTTCGGTAATTGTAAATGTCATGTCTCATTACAACCCGTGAAGATCTGGGTTAGAATTTGTCTTCAGCAATCCATGCTTGTCCTAAGAGGCGACTAACGGGTGGTCAGGCTCGCTGACTT